GAATAATAGTCCTCCACTGCTGCAGTTGTATGGATTCTTAACGCATTTATTGCAACTACATTTAATCTTTTTTCATCAAACAAACAGGCGAATGAATAGCTCGACACAACTCATACTGGGGCAGACTCTAGACAGGGCTTTCTTCTGTGTAGATATAAATTCTATTCTTTGCTTCAACTGGGCATGGTAGGGTATGATATGACAGCTGTCATAGCCTACCCTGCTCACCCAGTAAGTCTGTTTGTTTGTTTAATTAAGAAATTAATTAATTCGTTTCAAAATAAATATTTTAAACACTAAGACAAAAAGGAAAGAATAATAAATTGGCTTGGGCTGACCAATCAGCAGAAAGAGGCGTTTAATTCCCGCCCACATGTAGAAATCGAATATTCAAGCTGTTTATTCATTTTTCCACCCATGAACGAAAAACGAAAATTTAAGCTGAAATCTTAAATGAAAAAGGAGCCGTTTTCTAATTTTTCTACTTTCAATATTAAATCAAAAAACGAATGATCGAATGATACACGGATTGAAAACAAACCAAACAAAACCAAAACAAAAAAAACAAACCAGACCAAATCAAAACAAATACCAAAACAAACCAAACCCAACCCAACCCAGAACTAAAACAAATCAGAACCAAAACAAACCGAACAAAACCCAAACCAAAGCAAAACAAAACAAAACCAGAACAAATAAAACCAAAAGAAAAGAAGACACTTTTGCTTGAAAATTAACCAAGTAACTAAGTAATATCTTTTTTGATGACATTAATGACTTCAATGCTTTACATTTTTTTTCAGTCATGACAACACCATGTTTAAGTACCAATAACATGTTTTTAATAGAATTCAGAAAAAAATATAGCATTTCCAAAAATGTTGAATGTTACTGTGTGCAAAATACAGTAAAACAAACTTACTGTACAATCAAATAAAAACTTATAAAAAAAACTTATATAAAACCTCTGAATTTGAGGCAGTTTTAATAGACAATTGTTACCAAGCTAGCTTAACCATTCAACCCAGACAATCTGTGTAGCATGTATGATCATGACAGCCATGGCCTCAGGACACGCTTCTGTCCAACCCAGGAATGTGAAGCATCTGCCACTGTGAGCTGCACGCGCAAAACCAACCCCAGCCGCCACATCGTATAACTCCAGCCAGCCTCTATTGTACCTCACAGACGGCTGGTCTCCTGTGGTGGTTCTTACCGACCTGCCATTTATCAGACATTTTTCATCCAAACCAATTTATTGCACACTTAACGGCAGCGCTGCAACTGAAGAGTGAAACTCTGATACAGCAAAAGTCAGACATCAGTTACTTTGCGGTTTCTGGGTCACCTCTACCTAGGATTGAACTTGCAACCTCCGGAAGATCATTATCCACCCAACTCTAAAACGTGTGCTCACTGTTTTTGAAAGAACAGTTCAGTCAGAAATAAAAGTCCTGTCAGCATTTTCACACGTCGTTCGAAATCTGTAAGATTTTCTTTCTTTTGTGGAACACAAATGAAGATAATTTGCTGAATGTTCAAGATGCTCTTTACTTTCAATAGGAAAAACAGCTTAAATTTCGGTCTGTTTGTATGATTGTATGACTTGTATGACATATGATGCGATTTCAAGTTTTCCTTTCTCTTTGGAGTGTTACAAGCTGTTCATGCATATGTAAGATCCGTAAAGTTGCAAAGACTAAAGTCTCAAACCCATAGAGATATTCTTTATAAAAGTTAAAGGGTTAGTTCACCCAAAAATGAAAATTCTGTCATTAATTACTCACCCTCATGTCGTTTCAAACCCGTAAGACCTTCGTTCATCTTCGGAACACAAATGAAGATATTTTTGATGGAATCTGAGAGCTGTCTGACCCTGCATAGACAGCAACACAATTGAAATGTTCTCAAGTCCAGAAACGTAGCAAGGAGATCTGTAAAATAATCCATGTGACATCAGTGGTTCATCCGCAATTACGAAGCTACGAGAATACTTTTTGTGCGAAAAAAAAAAAAAAAAAACGACTTTATTCAACAATTCGTCTCCTCCGCATCACCCTGTAAACAGCATATGCTGTTCTGTGTCAGCTGCGTCACACGGATACGCTGTTTCCGTTCAGATCAAATCACAACAACGTAGGAAACAGATCGCAGTGTGAGCGGAGGCTGGCGGCTAGAGTGAGGAACGGCCGGCAGGCTTGAGAACGAGAGGCCGGCGTGCTGAGTGAGCGACGGCCGGTGGGCTTGAGAACGGCGCGGCCGGCGGATTCGACGAAGGAGTGGCCGGCGGGCTTGCGGTAACCCCATGTGACAACCCCGGGCTGAACTCCGCTTCATCCACGGTGAAAGCCGATCCGGTGATCCACAGCGAAGTTGATGTATTCCCTCAGCGACCAGCACGGATCAGCTCCAGGCATGACGAAGCAGATATCGTCCTTTTTTGGAAGGCCAAACAAAGTAATTTTGCTTTCACAACGAAACACAGTGTCTCCACGGCATGGCGGCGGCGGCAACAATACTACAGCGAGAATAAAAGTTACGCCTTCTTTCTTTGCGTGAACATTTGGGCGGCGTTATGCAAATCTTCCCACATCCTGATGTAGACATGTGGGGGGCGTGTTAGAACGAGCCGTTTTAGGTAGGCGTGGTTGACTCTTAACTTTTATAAAGATTATCTCTTTGGATTTGAGACTTTAGTCTTTACAGATCTTCTTTATGCACCAAGAGCTTGTAACACTCCAAAGAGAAAGGAAAAATTGAAATGGCATCATATGACCCCTTTAAAATGTAGTGCACAAATCTTACGGACAACTTTTAATGTAGCTCTTTGGACATTTTTGGAGCTTGACAGCCAACATTTTGGTTAGTTGGAAAAGAGCAGCTGAGAAATTCAGCAAAAGATCTTCATTCATGTTCCACAGAAGAAAGAAAATCATACAAGCTTGGAATGACATGTAAAAGATTTTTTCGATTTATGATTGCTGTGTTTTAAACTACTCGTCTGAGGGGGAAAATGTGCATCATGTAGATATTGTGTGAAATTCTTTAAGTTCTCAAAGACTTCTGCTATAAGTTCTTCAAGAGGTTTATGAAGAACATTTAAACCGTGTAGATCTATTTCCAAAGGTTTTCAAGAATTTTAAAGCATTCCTTAAAGCCCTTCTGAACCCTTAAAGAAGTTTCTGTAGGACTCTAGAGAAAGAATCTTTGGCTCTTCTCAACATCCAAAGAGATCTTTAAAACAGAAGAATACATTTGAGATATTAGGGTCTTTATTCACTCAAGACTTACAAAATCAAACTACTTTGAACTTGCGACTGAATTCAGAGCTTGGTTTTCTTCCAAAAGCACAAAATAAAAACAATTGCAATCTTATGAAGTTAGTATTGAAGTACTGTTGAATTAAAGCAGATGTTTGCATTTTCTGAAGTGATTGTGAGTGGTGTTGGCCTGCTGCCAAGATCCCAGAGCATTCTGAGTGGTTGCCAGGGCGTTGCTATGCAGCTGCTAAGGCGTTCTGATTGGTTTTTAGCATCTTGCTGGAAGGGTTCTGAGTGGTTGTTAGATGGACAGATGGTTTGTTATTGGCCAAAGGCCAAAAAAATCCACCCTGTGACCTTCAGTGTAAGTTTACAGGAATTTAACGTCAAACAGTTGCATCAAACAGTTAACGTCAAACAGTTGCATCTGTCTAAAATACAAGCCCATAATCCATAATATCATTCAAATAACACATCAAAATCCACCAACATATTTGTTTAGAACAGTTTTGGACTATTTTCAGTTGTAAACGGTGCTTGATTTGTGCATATTTCTCTCCTGATTCAGACAAGATGACATTTTCACTGGAAAAAACGATATTATGGATAGAGGACTCATATTTTTGCCGGAAACAATGATTTGGCGTTAAAATTGTGTTGATGATGGATTTGTTTCTTAAAAACAGGCAGCTTTTCGATGGACTGGAGTGGTGTTTTATCAGCTGTTTGGGCTCTCATTCTTTCTGACGGCACCCATTCACTGCCAAGCTGAGCAAGTGTTGTAGAAACAAACTCATCTACATCTTGGCCTGATTGTGAGTAGCCTAAATTTTCAGCAAATTATCATTTTTGGATGAACTATTCCTTCACAGACGTTACACATACATGAATGAACGGGTGTATACTCACATTGGCTCTGAAGGTCTGTACTGTGTTGTCCAGCAGTAAAACGTTACACACCACCTGCGCGTGCTGTCTCTCTCTGGCCTCCTCCAACGCTCCCACATCGTAAGATCTGCCAGCAGGCAACCGGAAGCGTGCGGTCATTACGGTCCCCACTCCGTCTGCGAAACACACAGAGGCTAAAGGTTACCAACACGCTCACCTGACCACGGTAAACGTTATTAAGCAGTGTAAAACACACATACACACACTAGCCCATGTGATCCTACGGCAAACATCAGTCACAAACATTCGTCTGTAGTCCACCTAAAAGTTCCTGTAAACAGCTATAAAGCGAGCAGGGAAAATGTTTTAAAGATTTTAGCTTTCAGGTTCTACTAGTAGAGATGGGAAAGCAAAAATCAAAACAAGGCACTTAGAAAACAGTCTTTCAATTGAAGAAACTCGTAAAGGAAATAGAGTTCAGGGTTGGTGTCAAGATAATTCGGATTCACAACTCACGAAGTGAAACTGCTTAATATATTTACTTTTCTTTCTCTGTAAGCTAACCTAATTCAGCTTCTAAAACTGCTGACATTCATCCTCTAATATTGAACTCTTTCATTCAAGGTTTTAGTGATACTAAACGCTCTTCTCAAAGCAAACAAGGTCATGTTCAGCCAGCTCTCAGATTCCTCAAGACAATCGGCCCACTGAAGAGTCCCTCAAAAGCTACCTTGTTGAAAACCTATTTATATTAGAAAAGATCGAGCAATTTCAATCAGACACACAAAGACGGAAGAATTTCTACAAATCAGAATGCTGTGAATCTCCCTTTGAACTCCTAGCAAAAAGAGATGAAGCATTTTACAACCACAATCTCGCACACCTAATTTAATTTCTGACTGATAATGATATCATCAGCGATAACAAAAACACAACAAAAATGCACTTTAAGATGATAATTAACGCGGTTGAGGTATAAAAGACAAGAAAAAAAGTATAAAAGACAAGAAAATACTGCAAAATATTATCCATGCTTACAATGTTTGCGCTAATAATGAACAGTTGTAAACTGAAGCGCTTTTCTAGTGGGTTAATTAACTCCAAACACATCTTACACACATAGTTAATCAGATAATACACAACAAATGTAATATTACAATTTTCTTCTGCACATAATGTTGCAAACACACAAATGGACTTAAGCTAAGTTACATGCTAGTCAGAATATGCACGTCATGTTATGAATGTGCCCTTTTTGTAACAATGCACTAAAAACATTTAATAAATAATTAATTAAAGACGTAAAAGAGCATAAAAATGAACAAAATTGCTATTAAATGTTGATGTCTAAATTAATTGAAAATGTTTGAATGTTTGGTTTAATTTTGAACTTCCTTCACAGCTAAAGTGTTTTTGCTGACTAAAATACACATTTTTCACATTAGGATTTTTAACATAATCCTAAAAAAATTATATTATATTATATTATATTATATTATATTATATAATATAGTGCTTCTCCAATGACATGCTTAAAATGTGTCAGCATCTATTTTGTGGACCAAACCTAGATGAAGAACATAAAAAGTTCAGTTACCTGATAACCCAAATTTGGTTTTCAGTTTTGGTTTTCAGCTGAAATGAAAACATAAATTTAGTTTTCTGTTTTTTGGTAAAACAAAATCAATTTTGGAGCATCACTAAAAACGGACTAAAATGAATGAAGTTTACATGTCAAAATATCAACTAACTCTAAGGGATATTATGGTCAAAAGACAAAAACAAAACCTAAAACCAAAAAACTGTGTAAAAATGGACACTTAACTCTACAAAGATAAATCTAAACTCTTTTGCTTTATGCATTTCACTCTAGTGTCAAGAGAAAAATCATAGTAGTGTATCGGATAGCCCACTATAAGATCTGAGACTTTTGACCCCCCCATTCTAGAATGATTAGCTCTAGACAGCCCACTCCGGACTCTTTAGAGCAAAATATCTAGAGCCAAAAACTCTAGATTGGGTAGTGTAGAATCAAAGACCTGACAGTGAGTCTCCTAGACCTAGATCAAAAAACTCTTACGCTAAGGAGTTTGTTCTAGAGTTTTAGCTCACTGTAGGGTCTCAGACTCGACACCACCCAATCTAGAGTCTTTGTTTCTTGTTATTTGATAGACCTGTTCATTCACATTGCTTTTATGTGTGTTGTAACCACAATCTGGGAGGAAAAGACCATATCTGTCCACAGGGCAGCTGACGAGGAGCAGGTTATGAGCTTATGTGATTTTGTATACAAAGTCTCTTTCAAGGAACACTGGCTTAACACATTCACAGCACGTTTACTGGTGCTAAGGTCATAAGAGGGTGACTAACATTCACTAGTTGTACTTGGGGTACTCACCCTTGTTTAAACCTGGAACAAAAAACAAGATTTTTTTTTGTAAGTCACTGTTTTATGTTTGCATTTTGTTTTTACAATGAAAGTCAATGGGGTCCAAACAAAAACCGATTGGACCCCATTGTTTGTAAAGACCGAAAACAAAACACCAGAACATTTTTCAAAATATCTTCTTTTGTGTTTTACAGAAGATCAAAGTCATACGGGTTTGGAATGACATGAGGGTGAGTAAATGATTGTCTTTATTGGGGGTGAACTATCCTTTTATGGTTTTTACAAACGAATAAGATAAAACAAGTCTTTTTCTTTAGGATTCGCCAAGCTTTCTCTTCCCCTTTGAAATGGCATTTGCATCATTTATCATTCTCAGTTGTCGGCATGGTTTATTTTTACATTTTTTTAGTGGTTTCTAAAAATGGACACACCTAAGTTTCTTTACACATGTTCATGCTGTACAAAACAAGCTCCCATAACACTTAAAGGCAGCTGCGTAAACAACAGGGGGTCAGAGTTCAAACTTTCTGGATGGTCACATTCGCTTATTCAAACTCCCCCACCCAACCGATTACAACCATTAATCTACGACACAATCTACATGGAAAGATACTGTCAGACAAAAAGTGCCATCAATAACAAATGCGTTTCAGCACACTTTAACTTTTGACATCCGTTTGACTAAATTTACACCAGCGTACCTTTACAAAGCAAGTCTTTTGAGACAAAAGCATCACTGTTTAGGATCTCTTCAACTCCTACGGTCACTGTTATCATGACGATGAAGAATGAAAAGATATGAAGTCAAAAAAAAAAAACTAAAAGATTTTCAATCATAAGATCACAAAAACACAAATCAGTCCTAAAAATAATGGTTATATCTGATACTTACATCAGCACAGCCTTATTTGTCCTGCGGGTCAATGCAGAAAGGATCATCTCTTTGTATAACTTGCTAAACTGTGATGTGTGTGTGCGAGAGAATGTGTGTGGTGGAACATTTCTCTTCTGTAGAAGTTTCCCCGGATGTCATTGAATACCACAAACACCGAAACACTTACAATTTTCCACTGAGTGGGGTTCAGACCACCAACACCTTCAGATCTCAGACAGTGTGGGGTTACAAAATGAGTTTATCCCCCACCCTAAAAACACTCTCACGGTCAGCCCCCTAAACCAATATTTCCATCCTTCTCTCTAAGGTGAAGCCATCATATCCTATAATGCATAATAAGCTACAGAGGTTTTCAACTAGTGTTCTGATTAAGTTCTGTGAACATCAATCAAAAATACAAATGCTGAAAGTCACATTAATAAAAATATATACTATAAGAAATAAATTCCAATATATTTTGTTGTTGATGTAAACTGCATGTGTTCAATCAAACTTTATGACATTTTCCCGCAAATTTACTTGGTAATTTGGCCAATACTAAAACAAGATTTATCCCACTATTTGTTCCACATGTTTGTTTGGTAAAATCACACTTCTGTTGTCATTTATGCACTTACAAAATTGTCAATATTCAATTCAGTCAAATTTTGTGATTTATTGGACGTATGCAGTTCACTGTATTTTCAACACATTTCAATGCTCAATTTTAAGGACATTTTACAAATGGACTTTAGGAGTAAAATTTTACAAGTACGTTCAGCGGTTCTCAACTATTTTTGCTTTAGGATGCAGATCTTGCATTAGACATCAAGAAGGCGCCCAAAACAGCAATGTTTAAAGGCACTGTTGAACCTACAAGTAAAATTTTACAAATAAAATGCATGCGTACGTAAAATTTAGCTTGTAAACGTTCTAATGTGGGTCTTGCTTTGAACATCGAATGGCAGTTCAAACCAGCACCTGTGAAGGCATTGTTGGACCTTACAAATAAAACTGCATGCATTCTTTAAAAAATTACAAGTAATTATTTTTTTTTTTTTTACAAATGTATGTGTACTTACAATTTTGCTTGTAAACACCAAACGCAGATCTTGCAAATAATGTCAATTGGCAGCCCAAAATAGTTCTTTACAAGATACCGCTGGGCCTTACGAGTAACATTTCACAAGTAAAATTACATGCATTCTTAAAATCTTACAAGTAATTTTTTATTTTACATTTTATGCATACTGAACATTTTGCTTTTAAACGTCCAAAGAAAATCTTGCATTGAACGTCAAGTGGCAGTCTAAAACAGACCTTACAAGATACTTTTGGACCTGATAAGTAAAATGTTACAAGTAAAATTGCATGCATTCTTAAAATTTTACTAGTATTTTTTGTTACAATTGCATGCATATTTAAAATTCTGCTTGTAAATATCCAATGCGGATCTTGCATTGGACATCGGGTGCCAACCCAAAATAGTACCTTAGAAGGTACTGTTGGACCTTACAAGTAGTGCTGGGTGGTATACCGGTTCATACCGATTACCGATGTTTATTTTTGCTATGATATGAATTTTTAAAATACCGCAATACATACACTATAGACACGGTCCATGTCACTAGTTAAAATTGCTTATTTCTCTGGATTTAAACATTCTTCGAAACATTTGGGATAATGTAAGTACACAAGTCAGCAAAATATATAACACTGTTCTAGTGGTTTTTGGATATTTTAATAAAAACAATCTTACATATTTTGCCTTTAAAACTTGGCTTGTAAATATCTGATTAGCATTGAACATCAAGTGGCAGGCCAAAATTGTACCTGACACTGTTGGACATCACAAATCACATTTTACAAGTAAAATTGCATGCTTATCTATAAAACTACAAGTATTTTTTTATAATTGCTTGCATACTTTTCTTGTAAACATCCAAACGCAAAATCACAGTCCTGAAGCAAAACCAGTAGAGAACCACTGAGCTAGAAGATGAGAAGACAAAGATGCTAACAGCCCAACAGGCTGTCATTCATTCATTCATTCATTCATTCATTCATCACATCATCCATCCAAGTTACCTATTCCACCTGAATCAAAGCAAGCTTTACAGAAACATCCAACCCTACTGCAATAAAAACCATTCAACTGAACACACGGTTGAACGACATCAATTTTCTCATGAAAAAGGGCTTTGTGCATCATCAGAAGAACACCACACATCCAGATCTGGCATTACAGTCTGTTGAAGAATGCGCACTTACACACACGCTCACACACCAGGGGGACAGAACAGGAGATGATGTCACCGACTCAACCAGGGGAGATGCGTAGTGCCCAGAAAACAATTAGAACAAACCTTATGGTGATACATTTCACCAATATAAGGTCCTCTGTGGATCCAACTGTATGCAAGCAGATTATTTGCATGCAAAGGATGAGAGCGGAGGTTATGTAATGATGTGGCAGAGAAAAGAAGGCAAATTGGGGAGCAGCTGAGATGTACAGATGAGACACAAACCTTAAATAAACACAAAAGCTCAAATATATCTCACATGACAGCTTAAGGATCTCGAAAAGAGGACACTGTGAGGGTTGCCAGGTATCAGAACAGAACGAAACACACTATGCATGCAATCCATGTTGCCCAGCTGCACAAATCACAGACACTGACTGCATGCATTTTGGCCATCATATGGATGGATTATCTTGACATGCAGCAGAAATTAAACCCTGGACGTTACATAAAGGCATTTACATGGCATCCGAAGCAAACCTGTCCCTAAAATCAGGGTGCAAGGTGAATGCACGCTTTATGCCTCTGCCTGTGCATCATTTCAGGGATCTAGAAGCTTGCATTGGCTGGTTTGGTTGCTATGCAATGGGATAAAAAAGGAAGACAGGGCATGCATGAATGGTGACACCAATACAGAAATACAACCATAATGCATGCTTACCTTCATATACAGGTCTAGGAGAGTCCAGTGAATTGAAGATGATCTTGAATTATGATGAAAGGAGAATAGGAGGGGGGGAGAGGACAAAACGGCAGCTCATCTGCAGGAAAATAACCACATTGCTGTAGATGTTCACATTACATTAAATTCAAGGGGCCTCTGGCACAGTAATAAATAATAATTCCGAAACGGGAACGCGATCCTGGCTTCTTCTTGGGTGCGGTGCATTAAATAAAAGCCTCAGATGCAATTGCAATCTTCTCTGTGGCTGCTGGCCGGGTTTAGCTCTATAATCCCGCATATGTCTCTGTATTGCTGCTACTGGCTGATGCGGCTGCAACATGCAGCGTTAACATGGCGCAACCGCTCACGCCTCGCCTACATTCTCATAGGTCTGCCGTGGGGGCGTGGCCGAAACGCGGGGGTGGGGCCTCGAATGCACAGACGCATAGTTTCAGTTCTCACCCAGAGATAGATAGATAGATATTATTTTACGCTATTTTATATTGCATATTTAAAATTTTTACATTATTAGATAGACAGACAGACAGACAGACAGATAGACAGATAGATAGATAGATAGATTATTTCACACTATTTTATATTGCATATTTACATTTTTTACATTGTTAGACAAACAGACATGATAGATAGATAGATAGATAGATAGATAGATAGATAGATAGATAGATCATTTCAAATTATTTTATATCCAATTCAATTCAATTCAAATTTATTTCTATAGCGCTTTTCGCGATACAAATCGTTGCAAAGCAGCTTACAGAAAAGTAAGTTTCTACAATATATTTAGTAGTAGCTTATCAGTAGTGACTGTCAAATTGATGTACATATGGCAGAAATGTACGGAAAAAGTCAGTTAATGATGTAATCAAACAGACGATGAACACTATTAACAGCAAATGAGTATATGTTGTAGGGCTGTCAAAAAAAAATTCGAATTTCGAATATTCGTCGAATAAAAAAAAAAATCCACATTCGAATGCAAAAACGTTGCGTTCGAATTTTAGGTCTGCGTCAGCCGTTGGGCAGCCTATCAGTGGCGCACGAAATGCCACCACGATGTAAGTGTCATTGCAATTTAAAGGGGTCATATAATGCTTTTTTAAAGATCATTATTTTGTGTATTTGGTGTAACAGAATATGTTGACATGCTTTAATGTTCAAAAAAACACATTATTTTTCAAATACTGTACATTAATTGTAGGTCCTCTATGCCCCACCTCTCTCAAACACATCGTTTTCAACAAAGCTACCTCCTTTGGCTACCATATGAGTCACATCTTAGCTTACACCATTTTGATATTTTGAGTTATTCAGACAAATTTAATAAATAAATAAATAAATAAAAGTTCTTGTGTAAATATCCTTGCTGACCATTAGGGCTGTCAAAAAAAAATTCGAATTGCGAATATTCGTCGAATAAAAAAAAAAATCCACATTCGAATGCAAAAACGTTGCGTTCGAATTTTAGGTCTGCGTCAGCCGTTGGGCAGCCTATCAGTGGCGCACGAAATGCCACCACGATGTAAGTGTCATTGCAATTTAAAGGGGTCATATAATGCTTTTTTAAAGATCATTATTTTGTGTATTTGGTGTAACAGAATATGTTGACATGCTTTAATGTTCAAAAAAC